CAGCCATTTGTCTGAAGTGGTATAGAATTTCCTGCTTGAGCAGGGGGTTGGACTAGATGACCTCCAAGGTCCTTTCCAACTTTATTATTATTACTGTTGTTGTTGTTATTCATTTTTAATTAATTATTATTAATTAGTATTATTTTTTAGGATAAAAAGCATATTAGAATCTTGTTGGGGCATCCCTTTATGGTTTCTTTATTGCTAATTGTTCTATAAAGGCTAAAAGAATTTAGTGTATATTATATTTAGTCTAGAGTATAGATCCTAGAAACAGTGCAGAGAAAAGCAATAAAATGGCAAGGGGTCTAGAGATTAAACCATATGATGAATGATTGAGGAAACTAGGTATGCCTAGTATAATGAAGAGAAGAACTAAGGCTGATATGATAACAGTTTTCCTGTTTTTAAGGGGATGTTACAGAGAAGAAAGGGTTGACCTATTCTCCAAAGCACCTGAGGTAACAGGTAGAAGATCATTAAAGTGAGATCCAACCTAGAAATAAGGAGAAATTTCCTGACAATTAATTAGTAGAATGGCTTATTTCTAGAAGTTGTGGGTGCTCCATCACTGGAGATTTTCAAGAAGAGACTGGACAGCCATTTGTCCAGAATGGTTTTGGTCATCTGCTTGAGCAGGGGTTTAGACTAGAAGATCTCCAAGATCCCTTCCACCCTATTGTTCTATGTTCTATGAACATTTTAGAACTGAAATATATGTAAGTAGCCTGTGATTACCCCATGGTGAATATCCTCAGCTTACGGATTTCTTTTTTTTGCATTTATATTCTAAGCAAACTTATTGGAAACTTAAAATTTTTAAATGAAGTGTATTCATAATAATTGTACGTAAGGTATTCTGAAGTACAATAAAATATAACAAATGTATGCTGTGATCTACTGAAAAAATACAAATCATCTGCATAATGAAATGTGAATTGTGTGTTTCACTTTATTCTTTTTCCTTGTAATAGATGCACAGAATGCTTTCAAAGTACGGCTTAGTATCAAAACAGCTCTAACTTCTAGATAGGGAACTGGACCAAAAATAAGCAATTAAACCAAAAGCCAAGGCCTTCCTAGCATCTTCAACTTCTCCTTTAATACACTGGTATGGCTTATGTTCACATTCTAACTTCAGCTGTAATTATATTGTACTCTTTATCAAGTCCTCCACAGTAGCTATTCAGTTCTCAGGAACTACACTCACTAAAGCACTTTTTATATGTTAAAAAAACCTCCAGTGTATCTCCTGGCTTGGTTATTTTATCTCATCACACATATTTACAACTAAAAATAATATGAATATCCAAAGCTGCAGCAAAGACAGAGACATATAAATATAAGAACAAATGAAATAAGAGCCAAAATAAGGCAGGCAGCCATTTTACTGGACCATCTGTCCAATCTTTGCTACTTCAATAGACTTGATTTCTTTCCTATGTATCAGAAAAATACATTTTGGTCTTCCGGTTGATATCGTGGCGATACGGTTGAGGGAAATTGGAGCTCCACTTTCCATGGGCTGTTTCGTTCTCCTAGAGAGCCCCCAGGGGCTGAAAGTTGTCCCAGAGAGGTGGCGTTAAAGGTGGAATCCTGCTGATCACAAGCGGATGGTGGACAGCTCATTTGATCATGGGAAAACCCTCCAAACCATCAGGAGAAAGATGTAGTTTTATTTGTTGTGTCTAAGCCAAGGAATTGGCTTGGAGCCCAGACATGAATATCTGCTAGCCTCTCTGATATCCTTGAAGACTGGAAACTTTTAGATCTGCAAGGAACAGCTAGAGATAGAGCAAAATATGGCTTTTTTTGTTTCCTGATTGGTGGGATTTATCAACTGGATTAAAGCCTCCTGGCTACTTTGGATTACAAACATCGATTGATTTTCAATTTTGGACTTGTAAGAACCATCTGAAGCTAGAGGAAAATATGGATTTCTGCTGCTTCCTGTCTGGTGGGATCTACTGATAGGATAAAGGCCTGTTAGCTACTTTGGATTATAAACATCGGTTGATCTGCAATTTTGGATTTTAGACATAAGGACTGTGGCAGGTTTTATAACTTTTCCTCTGGATTTGGTGTTGACTGACAGAGTTGGATTACAAACATCTCTTCTCCTTGGTGGATCTGCACATTAGAACATACTGGATTATAAAGGTTATAGATAAAATGAAGGACTATAAGAACTATATAATTTGATGTTAAATTCAAACTGTGTATTGATGTATTGAGTATAGGACTGGCTATATTGGATAAGGTTAGCCTTCTTTGAGCATTTCAGTTTGATAACAGAATAACTGGAGGGTGGGAATAAAAACGAGTGTTCCAAATCTTGTTAAAATTACCAAAAAATCATTTTCACCATCCTCCTCTGTGGCTCCCAGCCCCATACACCAAAGGTCCATAGAATCAATGCTTCAACAAGAAAAAATATTAACAATTTTCAAAAGGAAATATAGACCACACTGCAGATAATCCAAGAAACACATAAAGAAGATACAAGAAAAAAATCATGATGAGACAAAAAAACAACTAGCAAAAATTGGAAGAAAAAATGGATAAGATAAATGAACAGGTTTTTAATAAAACTCACAACTAGAAAACTTCCAACAAATGATTACAAAGAATGAACAAAGAATTCAGAAAATGGAAGACAAATCAGAGGAAACTGAGAAAAAGATGGAGGAAATAAAAGAAGAAAATCAAAGACTGGCAGAGAAAATAAAAAATTGGAATACACAGCAGCATTGGAGATGGAGAAAGCTTCGTACTTACTAAGATTCCAGAACATACTGAAATATGAGGAAGATCTAACAGAACTGGTCAGAAACATGATAGCGGAAGCACTGGAAATTGAGAAAGAAGAGATGGAAGGAGAGCTCGATCAAATATATATAGTCAACTCAAGCTATGCAAGAAGACAGAGTGAACAGGGAGGTACATGTTAGATTTGTGAAGAGAATAATAAGGGATGAAATACTGAAAAGAGTGAGGGAAGAACTGCTGCAATATAGAAAAAAGGAGATTGTGGTTATGAAACAGATCCACTGGAGGATAAGAGACTCTCAGAAACAATACCAATTTTTGACCACAAAATTAAATAAAGAAGGAGAAAACTTTAGATCGTTGGTCCCGAAGGGGTTCCTAATCAACTGGAATTCTAGAAGATACAGATTGGACTCCACCTTTAAAGCAGCAGAATTTTATGAGAGACATAAATGTTTCTTTGAAGAAAAAACACAAGATACATAAGCAGACAGGGAATTTGAAAAACAGAAAGAGCCAGCAATAGAAGAGGCAGGTACACAAAGCGAAGGAGAAGGAAAAGAAAAAGAAAATACAGGCCTAGAAGGAGAGAAACCTAAATTTAAGTAAATAAGATGGAAAAGGAAAGTGGGATCCTTTCAATGAATATTAATGGACTGAACTCCCCCTCAAAAAGGAAAAAAATATTTACACGATTACAAAAATTAAAAATGGATATAATTTGTCTTTAAGAAAACATTTTAAAAAAACAACATTATAAACTCCTGGAATGCCTGAAAATTGGGAAACTTTATTTCACGGCAGCACAACAAAAGAAAAGGGGAATCGCTTTATATATTAAAGAGACAGTAGACTCCAAACAGGTCTATACAGATGAAGAAGAAAGAATTCTAATGGTGGAAATAATGATAAATCAAAAAAAGATATTGATAATAGCAATATATGCTCCAAATAATAAACAAGAAAATTTTGATCAAAAACTACACAGAAAATATTGGAAATTGAATATCAAAATATTTGTTTAGTAGGAGATTTTAACGCAATTATGAATGAAAAATTAGATTACAACAGTAGTAAAATAGGAAAAAGAAGAAGGAAGAGATTACCTAAGGCAGACATGTCAAACACAAGGCCCGGGGGCCGGATGCGGCCAGTGAAGTGGTTTCATGTGGCTCACGAAGCCATCCTGGAAAAAGTGAGGGAATGGCCCCCGCTGCCTTGGCCCTGGCCCAGGCCAGCTGAGAGCCAATGTACAATTTTGTGGTGGCCATCTTGGCACTTGCCCCGGTGGACCATGCCTTGGCACTTGCCCCAGTCCCACCCCCTTCTGCCAGAGACCCTCAGATCTGTCCCACTCCTGCCCAGGCCCCCATAGGCACCCTTGACGCAAATGATGTAGAACTGGCCACGGCCACCGAGTAGGCCACAGCCACTCCATCCACACCCACCCAGTAGGCTGCACCCACTCTGGCCACACCCACCCAGCCCACCCAGGGCAACTGCAATGCTGATGCGGCCCTCAGTGAAATTGAGTTTGACACCCCTGACGTAAGGCATTTTTTAAAATGGCAAAAGAAATCTGTGTATAGGATGTCTGAAAAGGAATGAACCCAAAAAGAACTCAGTATACATTTTATTTAAATAGACACAAATCATGATCTAGAATTGATACGATATGGATGTCCCCTGAATTAAGAACTAATATACATGAGGTTAAGATAGAACCCAACATTTAGGCTGACCATAATCCAATAAAGCTGATCTGGAGAGGGGTAAAGAAGAAATCAAGGTGCACGTTTAATCAATCTTTATTAAAAGAAAAAGAATTTACAAAATTAGCAGTAAAGGAAATGGAATTTTTTTTAAAGAAAATAAAAAAGAAGATACTTCACTCCAGAATGTATGGGATACAGCCAAAGCATACTTCAGAGGACTAGCCATAACTTACATGGTTAAAAAGAATAAAGAAAAAAGGCAACAGTGTACAATGTTAAGGGAAGAATTTAAGAAATTGGAGCTAGAACTTCAAAGAGATCCACAAAAGAAAACCCTTAAAAGACAAATGGAGATGATTAAACAGAAATTAAACCTAACAGAGTCAGAAGAATTGGCTCAACAAATCAAAAGGGCAAAACAAAACTTTTTCGAAAATGCAAATAAACCAGGAAGATGGCTGGTGTCAGGGGAAAAACTTGTTAAAAAGAAACAAGAGACAACACACAACAAAAGTCTCACTTTAGGATCCAGAGGTTTATTTAAATTTGACACACAAAGTCAGTACTTACATTTCAACAACTTATTGCAATAAGGACCAAATGGACAGCAGTCATTAAATGTGATGGCTATGGCCAAATGGCAATACCCAGATCTTTGAGGCAGGCTTTATACCTTAGCAGTATGCCCATCCCTGATATTCTGGAACCATCCAATGTTCCTCCCATTTCCCTTTTCATGTTAAAACCATCAACATGTGTCTTTCTGGAACAGCAGCTTTCTTAATTCCCTTTTCTTGGAACTGGCCTCCAGCCTAGTTCCCTATTCCTGGGTTGGTTCCTTATTCTTGTTCTGTTGCCCTGGCTACCAAGCCAGTTTCTTGTTGTTCCTTGTCCTTGCTCTAACCTCTACTTTCCTCACTACCGTTTGTACATGTGTCATTGTATCCGTGAACAAGGCTCAGTTCCTTAATTCTCGTATTTTCTCGTTACAACCTTTATTTTAATTGACCATCAAAGAAATATATTTGATTTATACAGAAAGAATTATTAAGATATTTTTTCCTTTTACGGTCCCCACTTCTTGTCCTTTAGGATAACACCACCATTAGCATCAGTAATAGAGTAAAACATACATTACATTAACATAGGAGGGCATCACAGTGTTATACAAATTAAAACAAGTGGCAATAAACAGCAACTCAATCATAGGTCATACAATAGGTATGAGGCATCCTCTTATGCAAAGTGTTTCCTTCATGTGCCTCTGGGCTTCCATTATGTTGGAAAAGGTGTTGTAAAGGTCTTCAGTTGCCTGAGGAGGGCATATCGAGGCTCATTTCTTGTCAGTTAGCCTGGGGCAGAGGTTATACGTTGGTGGGGAATAGAGGGTTACTAGCACTTACTCCCCTTGTTGGATAAAGCTTCAGTCTTTGCCTTGCTGGATTTGGATGGCTGGGGTTGCGCAGCTTCCTCGTCTGGGCCTGGTGCCTTCATACAGCGCAAAGCATGTACTTACGAGATCATATCTTGACACTTCACAGCAGTGTTGGTGGTCCACAGGATCTGGAACGGTCCCTTCCAATGAGGAGCCCAACAATTCTTATACCGAAATACTTTTGTCAGAACCCAATCATCAACTTTCAATGAATGATAGGGGTATAATGGTTCCTTGGGCATAACTGCTGCAAGCTGTGAATGGCAATCTTTAAGAGATGTGAGACGAGCTTGGCAAGAGTCCAACATAACAGCGGCTAACATATTATGAATATCTTTTAGATATACAAATGTCGAGGGAGAGGCTGGCATCCATATGGGTCTGCTCACTAATAACCCATGTGGAGAGAGTCCAGTCTGTTGAGAAAGAATCATTCTTATGGACATTAGGGCAACCTGAACAACTGTGATAGAGGCCTTAAGGTCAATAAATGATCTTTCCAGTTTTTCCTTGGTATGTTTAAAGGATTGCAAATGCTATTCCCTACACCACTTTTCCATTTCTGCATAACAAACCACAAAAGCAGACCAATTGCCCGGTTTGAGGAAGACATCAACAGCATCCAGACAACTTTGCAAAAATTAAGTTTGTTTCTGTCAAAAGTTCCAGCAAGGGGAAACGGACAACTAGGTTCTTGTGTGGCAAGCACATGCCATTGCTGCAAGTATTGACAGAATCTAGGTCTCTTATGAACATATATATATACCATGCCAGGTTATCCTTTTTAGGAATCTCCCCTCTCTTAGGCTGGGAATGTCCCATTATAGAATAAAGAGACCACAAATTAAATCAAAAGAACAAAAAAGCTAAGCAAAGTTTATACATACGTGAGTGGACGTGGGCCACTAATCTGTCCAATTCAGGCTAAAATGCTTATGGTTACACTCTGTTATCTCTCAACCATGCATCCATCCATCAATCTCAAGACATACTGCATTTAATCATGGTTGAGGGCATGGTTGAGGGCCTACAATGTTCTTATGTAGTTGATTCATTTATTTGCTTTCTTCTCCCATTTTTTTACTTTATTTTTTTTTAACTTTCACCTGGGCAATTGTCACAATTGTCCAGGGGAAATAGAGGAAGACTGAGCCCTGCCAACATAGATAGTCCTTATCTACAGAAGGGGCCCAGTCCCTCAATAGCAGTGATCATGAATTGTGCCACCCCAGCAAATAAACTGACCCTTATCTACAAGGAAGGTAGCATTTGACACAATCTGAAGGCAATTACATGTCAGCAATGGAGACACAGATACAGACAAGGGTTACAAATATTACACAGAACAATAAATACATTTAGACAAAATGAGTGACACCGCACCCATAAGCATTGAAAAAGCAGACAAAATGTACACATTGGGATAACTGGATATACAGCAGGTCTACTCTGGGGGTGTGCCACAAAGGATTCCTTATGCCACCAGGAACTCTTCCTTCCCCCAATGTAGAGAACACAGAACCCAATGAAATAAAATATGGACAAAAAGAGAAATGGAACTCTGCCCTATGAAGAGTGCATAGAAGCATGTGCACAAGGAATGCATAGAAGAATGTGCATGTACAATAAAGAAAAAGAAAAAACATTAAGCAACAGTGGATATTACTATGCCCAAAGACATAGAAAAATCAGGAAGCAAACTAATTAAAGTAGCAAAAATTCAATGACAGGTTCAAGAGAAAGAAAGTAACCATAAACCACTGGAATACAATTCTAAAGAGCAGTTTCATAACGTCCAAAAATACCCACAGTAATGCACCAAATCCAAAACTTGTATTCAAGTGTCCACAACACCATCATCATTTCTAATCTTGAATAAAATAGCACCTGCCAAATTTAACAAACGATTAAAGCACTATTTTTTTCATACACACAAGGAAACTCCAATGCACAATATCAGCTAGGGGTGAAAATAAAAGGAACATACCTTTACTTCATGTAGCTTAAATAAAAGCCCAAAGTTCAAACATCAAAATGGCACACTCAGAGCTCAATCTGTAAATCACCAGCAGCTAGAAAAAGCTTCAGAAATGACATAACCTTATTTTCTGCCAAGTGTCATTGATGAGGGAACAAAAAAAACCCTTGTAAATGAGGCTGCAAGAGATAACACTTGAGGGCATGACCCTCACCTTGAGGTGCTCCTCGAACACTTACAATGGGGTGATCTATCCCCAGGTCATGGCTACAGTAGATTCTGCTGCCACTGGACTTGCCTGACCGTTTTGCCTAAAGCAGTGGTAACAAACCTATGGCACGGGTGCCAGAGGCGGCACTCAGAGCCCTCTCTGTGGGCACGCATGCCGTTGCCCCAGTCCTAGGCCTTCAGCTGGGTTTTATAAAACCTTTTCACTTTAGGTCTCCGCTGCCGTGTACAAAAAAAAAAGGTTCAATCAGTCAATTTCAACTTCTTGTGGGAAAAAAAAAGATCTTGCAAGTTGGAATTGATTGATTGAACTTTTTAGTTCCACCCGGTCTGTTGTTACCACCGCAGGCACGCTCACCCAATGGGCAACACCCACCCAGCACCCGACAATGTATAAGTGGGTTTTGGGTTGCAGTTTGGGTACTCGGTCTCTAAAAGGTTCGCCATCACTGGACTAAGAGCACAACAACCTTTACACATACACCTTGCTATCTCCTAACATGTATGGTTGTGTCCCTTCCCATGCTGCCAAAACTGGAGATGGCACAAAAGGGGGTCCCAAGGAAGAGGTACCTCCTTACCTCTGATCCAAAGTGTAGTGTGGGTACATGGAGATGGAGCACAAGCTGATTGTCTAGGGTCCAAACCTGGAGATGGGCAGATGCTTCTGTGGAACACAAGACCTCTTTCTTTTGTCTCTTCCTGGCCAACGCACCAAAACTGTCAGAGGAAAAACTTGTTAAAGAGAAATAAGAGATAACACACAATAAAAGTCTCACTTTAGGATCCAGAGGTTTATTTAAATTTGACACACAAAGTCAGTACTTACATTTCAACAACTTATTGCAATAAGGACCAAATGGACAGCAGTCATTAAATGTGATGGCTGTGGCCAAATGGTAACACCCAGATCTTTGAGGCAGGCTTTATACCTTAGCAGTATGCCCATCCCTGACATTCTGGAACCATCCAATATCCCTCCCATTTCCCTTTTCGTGTTAAAACCATCAACATATGTCTTTCTGGAACAGCTTTCTAAATTCCCCTTTCTTGGAACTGACCTCCAGCCTAACTCCCTATTCCTGGGTTGGTTCCTTATTCTTGTTCTGTTGCCCTGGCTACCAAGCCAGTTTCCTGTTGTTCCTTGTCCTTACTATAACCACTACTTTCCTCACTACCATTTGTACATGTGTCATTGTACCCGCGAACAGTTCCTTAATTCTCGTATTTTCTCGTTCCTTGTTCTGCTTATATTAAGAAATATATGCCAACCACAATCTTTCACCATCTACTGCAAAGGTAACAGTTCTTTCTTTTACTAAGTATTTCTCAGCAGACACCAGCCTTTATTTTAATTGACTATCAAAGAAATATGTTTGATTTATACAGAAAGAATTATTAAGATAGTTTTTCTTTTCACACTGGCATAAACTGAAAAAAGAGAAAAAGTTGATAAATAAACTGCAAAATGAGAAGGGAGACATGCAACTCCAAAATGAGGCAATAAAAAATAGTTAAAAATATTATGAAAAATGATATGATATAGAAAAAAATTCTCTGGAAAAAACAACACAACATATTGAAAAAGCCAATTTACCAAAAATTCCAGAAAACTTTAAAAATATGCTAAATGAAAAAATAATGATGGAATGGATGGAAGCTATAAAAAAGACAAAAAAATGATAAAACCCCAGGACCAGATGAGCTACCTGCAGACTTCTATAAATGTTTTCAAGATACATTAATCTCCCCAAGGGAGAAAGTTTGCAATGAGGTATTATCAGAGGCTAAATTACCAAATACATGGATGGAAGCAAATATCATCTTAATACCAAAAGAGGACTCAGATCTTTTACAGATAAAATTTATAGACCAATATCACTACTGAATGTGGATTACAAAATTTTTGCCTCAACAATAGCAGAGAGATTGAAAAGATTTTTGACTGAATTTATTCATCCAGACCAAAATGGATTTTTACTAAAAAGACAAATAAAACACAACTTAAGGATTATTTTAGATACATTAGAAATGTATTTTGAAATGCACCCAGGAAAATAAATGGCACTATTTTTCTTAGATGCTCAAAAAGCTTTGATAATGTAAATTGGCAATTTATGACACAACAATTAAACTGCATGGATTTTGGAGAAAAGTTTATAAATGTAATTAAGACAATATATCAAACAATCAGCAAAAGTAACTGTAAATGGGGACTACAGAGAGAACTTTAATATAAAGCAAGGCACAAGACAAGGATGTCCATTATCCTCATTGCTATTCATATTGACTTTGGAAATTTGAACAGGTACATCAGACAAGACCCAGAAATTAAAGGAATGGAAATAAAAGATTAAATCTATAAATTAAAAGCATTTGCAGATGACTTGGTATTTATCATAGAAGAACCATTGGAGACAACTCCTAAACTATTGAAAAGGATTGAGGAATTCAGAGAAGTAGCAGAATTGAAGATGAACAGAGAAAACAAAAGTTATACTTAAAAATCTTACGTCTAAGCAAAAAGAACAATTGTCAAAAAAAATGGATTTTCAAATAGTTAGGAAAGTTAAATATTTGGGACTATACCTAACAGCAAGATGTGCAATGATAAAAGAAGATAACTACTATATTAGGGGAGAAATGAAAGAGATTTCAGAGGAAAATAATAGGATTTTGAGGCAACAGATAGTTTTGGCTTTAAAAGGAGTTGCCTCTGTTCTTGAAAAGTTGAATTCTCGTGTAGAAGAGGTATCAGAAAAAGTGGAATTGATGGAGGGAAAATTTGAAAGCATGGAAAAAGAGATGGAAAATTTTCAAGATGAGATTCTTATGCTTCAATATAGACAAATGGAATATGCTTTAAGAATTAGAGGCTTGAGAGAGTCTTTGCAAGGAGATCTGAGAGAGATGGTTGCAAATGACTTTGCTGTGATTTTGAATAGAGAAAAAGAGGAAATACTTAGTGAAATTGAAAAAACATTTAGAGTTAATTCTGTGGTGGCAGAGCAAAGGAATTTGCCAAGAGATGTGGTAATTTATTTTGGGAAAAGATCCCTGCGCAACGAAATTATACAAGCTTTTTATAAGAAGAGGTTTCAAATTGCTTCACAAGATGTTATAATTCTAAAGGAGATCCCATCTAAAATTTTAAGAAGAAGAAAGGAGTTTACTTTTTTAGCAGATGAACTTAAAAAGAGGCGAATGTTGTTCAGATGGGATGTCCCGACTGGAATGGTGGTGAATTACCTGGGGACATGTTATAGACTTAATACTGTTTTTAAAGCAAAAGAGTTTTACACTTCGGTCCTGGGGGTATGTTTATCGCCATCCATTACGTTTAAAGCTTTGGAAGAGAAGAAGGTAGAATTGCAGTCTGAAGAGCCTATATTTATGAAAAATGGGAAATCTCAGTTTGAGGGGCCTCAACAAGTTGAGATGAAGGAGCAGAGGACAACCCGTGCAACATATAAACGTAAAGAAAAGGAGCAACAGAAGAAGGAGGTTAAGGAAGCCTCACAAGTATTGGTTTCTGAGTCTGCGGGAGAAGCAAGATTTACAAACTTTTTGGAGCAACCTTTAAGGGCAGACTTCAAAGCACTTCTTTTGAGGTTTATGGATAAGAGAGATTGATAAGGAATGTATAGATTGAAGATTATGGAGATTGTATGAAAATTTTAGATAAGAAGTTTAAGTTTAGCAATTTAAGGAGTATTCAAAAGAGTATTTTGTTTTCATGGTATAATGAATGTTTATATGTTTATTTTTGTGTTTTAGGATAAAGAAAGAGGGAGAGATTAGATTTTATATTGTATGTATAGATATCTAAGGAGTATTTAAAGGAACATTTTGCTTTAAATATGTATAAGGGAATTTTAATGTTTTAAGTAATGTTTACATTTGTGTTTTTGAGGGAGTTTATAAAGAATGATGAATAATAATATAACTATGACATTAGAAAATGTTTAGAGTATATTATAATGTGTTTAATGTTTGTAATTATAAAAAATTTTTTTGTTTTTTTTATTATTTTTAAGAGACGTATTTTTGGGTATGGAAAAAATGGATAGATTTTACATAATATAAGTTGGATATATATATATATATATATATATATATATATATATATATATATATATATTACGCGGGAGAAAACCCGAACAACCAAAGACCTACATACAAACACCCGCGAAAACCTCAGAAAACATATATATATATATATGTTTTCTGAGGTTTTCGCGGGTGTTTGTATGTAGGTCTTTGGTTGTTCGGGTTTTCTCCCGCGTAAAATTGGAAGTGTCTTGGCGACGTTTCGACGAAGTCCCATTCGTCATCTTCAGGCTGGTGTTTTCAGCTTCGTGCTTCGAGCAGCAATGTGTGGTCTTAGCTGTTTCTTCCTTTTAACTGCCAGTGGGGGTATGAACTGATTGGGTGGGAGCTTGGCTGTGTTCTGATTGGGTGGAGGTGTGTTCTGATTGGTTAGGGGCTTGGCTGTGCTCTGATTGGCTGGGGGGTTGGCTGTGCTCTGATTGGCTGGGGGTTGGCTGTGCTCTGATTGGCTGGGGGAGTGTTCTGTTTGGTTGTGCTCAGGTTAGTCTGAGTTGCAGAGGGGTTTAAGATTTTGGGCTGCCTTGCTATTTTTTGGCTTCGCGTTCGTGGTCGTGCCTCCTCTTCATGGAGGGTGTCAGTTTGCTTCATGTTTGGATTGGAGGGGTTTAAAGTGGCTAATGATGCAGCTGTGGTCTGGCTTCTGGTTTGTGGTCGTGCCTCATCATCGGTGTGGCTTTGGGTTTGTTTTTGCGTGGATGTGTGGTGGTGACATCCTGTGTGGTTTTTGTGAGTGTGGGTCTGGTATCATTTTTTGTGTTAGGGAGTCGTTTGTCAATAAGGGCGGGTTTCCAAATGGCTGGTAGGCGGGAGGTATCATCTCGCTTGTTCATGCTGTGTGGGCGTTTTTCTATCTCGATGGCTTCTCTGATTATTCTGTTATTAAAATGTTCACTTTTGGCAATGGTTCTGGTATTTTTAAAGTCAATTTCATGTCCTGTGGCTTTAAGGTGTTGGACCAGGGAAGATGTTGGTTCCTCTTTTTTGACTGAGTTCTTATGTTCTTCAATGCGTGCACTTATTCTTCTGTTGGTTTGTCCGATGTATGTGGTGGGACAAGTGGTGCATGGGATTTCGTATACTCCTTGATTTTCTAATTCAATTTTATCTTTGGGGTTTCTAAGGATGGTGGATACATCTTAGATCTGACCAACCACTGCCTATCCAACACATACTTCATCTATAATGGACAAAAATGCAAACAAACAGAAGGAGCACCCATGGGATCACCCCTCTCACCTGTCATTGCCAACCTCTACATGGAACACTTTGAAACCCAAGCTCTAGAAAAATCGGATCACAAACCCAAACTCTGGCTCAGATACGTAGACGACACCTTCATAATCTGGCCACATGGGAAAGAAAAACTGGACAACTTCCTCACACACCTCAACAGCCTACACCCCAAAATACAGTTCACCATGGAAACAGAAGCTAACAACCAACTTCCCTTCCTGGATGTCTTAGTCTACAAGAAATCCAATGGCTCCCTAGGACACACCATCTACCAGAAGAAAACACACACAAACCGCTATCTGCACGCTCTCTCACACCACCACCCAGCACAGATCAACTCTGTAGCCAAGACACTCATCTCCAGAACAAAACGCTTAGCTGACGAACAACACCTAAAACCCGAACTACACACTCTCACCAATGTACTAACATCCAATGGATTCCATAGAAATAAGATTACAAACCTAATCCAAAAAGAAACCCCCACTAAAATCCAAGACAAAGAACAAGAAAACGGCAAAGCCCTCCTCCCATACATAAAAGGCACCACAGACAGAATCAGTAAGATCCTCCATAAACACAACATCAAAACAGCATTCTGCACAAACAGAAAAATATCCACCATCCTTAGAAACCCCAAAGATAAAATTGAATTAGAAAATCAAGGAGTATACGAAATCCCATGCACCACTTGTCCCACCACATACATCGGACAAACCAACAGAAGAATAAGTGCACGCATTGAAGAACATAAGAA